AGACCTGGCTGCCACTGTTGCCATCTTCTGATCCTTGAAGAAATTTTTGCTCCTCATATTTTGCATGTGAACCCAACACTCCTGAAAGAGCCCTAAAATAAACACCTCTAATTCCTGTTCGTGTGTTCCAATGTCTTGGACCAAAGCTTCCCCTTCTCAAATGTTACATAGCATGGTATTGCACCATTTGGCTGCTCCCTTCACCTCAAAAATGGCTTTGCTGTAGTGTTGATGTTCATAGATAGTTGGCGTGTGGGGAAAAATATTGGGATGTTTCAGGTTGAAAAGTTGATCTTTAATAGAAATATAAACTGCAATTCATTTTATTTGTTATACAAATTCTTCCCCTTCTGATCCTTAACCAGCATTTTTACAAATCTAATTGAGATGTCATCACTTGCAAATATTCAAGCTTGAAATTTTGCAAAATATTTCGACGAGAATCAACGTAGTTGATTTAGCTCCCGGCTATTATTGGATAATTAATAGTGTCAGTTTTAGGCCTGACCTTGTGATTAGCTCTGTAAGAGCAGAACTTGCCCAGCCTGGGCAGAGTCAGCTGCAGAATCGGGACATCAGGCTCCAATCCCTCAAACCATTATCCATGCACTTTAATGTTGAAGTCAATTGGACTTCTCACAGTTTATAAAAGTAAGCATGGGAAAAAGCCTCTGCAGGACTGGGGTTAACTAACTACCCTAAAGTAATATGTATGTCAAGGATATTAATTGATATGTAAACCAAAGCCAGTCTGTGACTCTGCTTTCCCATCTGTAAAATGAGGATAACTTTAGTAATGCATGTTGGTAAAGCACTTGATGCTATTTTCTAATTTTTAGAATGAATTAGAATTTTCTAACTTTTATAATTAATTAGAATCAAAATGGTATTAACCACTTTCTAATTTCAGACCATCTCCATTGTAAAATCTTAGTGGTTAGGATAAATAGATAGTAAAAAGGATTCAAAACCATTTTGCCTCATTATAGTACTTGGTTCAAACATGGGCAACATTTTTGTATTGAAACTATAAATAACAGTAATTTTGTCTCTGATACACTGCTGAGACCAATGTGCATACTGCACAGCACTTACTATGATAAAAACAGGGCTGGATTTTGCATTTTGCTATGGCCTAATTAGCAAGAAAGAATCGTATTCAGATTTCATATTTAGCTGTTGTTCCGCTGCTTGCTACTTTTCTACTCATACATTGTCTATGTGCAGCTTTTGTGGTATTTCACCTTCTGTTTAACTGCCACTGCTTTTAACTCTTTAACACCTGTGACATTGCAGAGCAGGATATGAAAACACCAGAATAAATGACCTCTTGAGGTCCCTTCCAGCCTTACTTATCTATGACACTTTCAAAAAAAGAGCAGTAACCCCTCCATGTGATATCATGGCATCTGTAGAGCAACTGTGATCCACTTTAAGCTTGAAACATTAAATGTTTAATGATACATATTTGCCTTAATTAATCCTAAAGTTCTGTAGGATTTGCCCCAGGGTTGGCACTGGGGCCTGAGCTCCCAAGGGTCCCATTAGCAGCCAGAAGTTTCAGGGGTGCTATCCAACTGGTTGTGTAGTAAACAGTAGAGACTTGATACTAAACCTTTGCCTGGGATTCCCATAAGCAAAACTCTGCCCCTCAATTTGCTCAATTATTTTGTCAGACCCAGGACAGCAGGTCTTATCCTCAGCTGCTAGAAATCAGCTTTGTGCCATTCAAAGACGGAAAGTTATGCTGATCTACATTAGCTGAGAACATTTTCTTTGTGCTTGTTACACATTTCAGGCCAAATACAATTGATTTTTTTTTTTTTTTACCCTTACACATGTGTAAGCAGAGTATTAACATGTCTGACATTCTCTAATATAATAGTGATGCTCAAAAAGCACAGGTATTTTTTTGCAATATTTTTGAAACGCACATAATTCTTTTATTCAACACTTTTGGAGAAAATTTCTATTATGCAGTGAAAAAATTCCTTTTTGGGGGGAGGGGAATGGAAAATTTCCCCAAAAAATAATTTAGGGTTGAGAAAAGGCAACTTCTAATCCAAAATATGTTTTGATGAATCTTTTTTGCCAGCTCTACTTAAATCTTACATTATTTGGTTAATTCTGTGAATTCTTAAAATACCCAACACAATCTATAGTTCTAGTATATTTACTAAGTTATTGCATTGCTCCATTCTGCTGCAAGCATTTTATGGTCTCTTGCCAGTCTGTCAATATATAAAATCATTTTTGACTGCCATTTCCATAGTCTGTGCACAAACAACAGAGGCATAATATACACAATTGCCCTGAATTCATGTTTTAATAGTGGCAGAGCAAAATCAAAATATAATGTGAAATTTAATATTAAATTAATGCCCAAATCATCTAAGACTGAGTTCATATTAAATAAATTAATTTAAAAAAATGTAATATAATGAGATTCTTGGAAATAGGGTATGTGTCCCAAATAGTTCTCTTAAAATCCACTGGCTATAGTCATGGTCCTTTCCCTCCAGTATTTGCTTTTATACAATGAATTTTACGTTACATTTAGTCAAGTGTGTATAGCAGTTTTGAACACTAGCTCAATATCCCAGGGCTATCTGAAGGTCCCAACCTAAAAGCCTTCATCCACATGCATAATTTTAGGCACACTTGTAAGACCACTAAGTCAATAGAAGTTTCTTAAGTATTTGGAGGATTCAATCTAACAACCAAGTCCAGCTCATGCTGATGTGAAAGGAGACCTGGCATCTGACTTCAGCAAGAGCAGGTTTACAGGGTACCACCCTGTGTCCATTCCAGGTTCCACTTTATTTAATGAAAAAACAATTCATACTATAAAATGTGTGAGATACAGGAATGAATTTACCAAAAATTTATTTCAGTTAGTTTTTCCTACAACTGTCTCACATAGTCTGTTTTAAGACCACAACTTTCTATTGACTTCAGTAGGAGTTAAAAGCACAGAAGCAGAGGGATCAAACACTTAGAAGATTGGTCACTGAAGTTTCCTTGGCACTTAGGAACATAAAATGAATTTATTCCTTTTAAAATTTGCAGCTGATTCAGAAAATTCATACGGTTAGGAACCTTAGGCTGTGTTTTCTCATTCCTAGCCACATTTACAAATGGTCCCACCCTCCTGAATCTCTGGAAATGTTCTGATTAGCTTCTACAGTCTGTGATTAGTTATTTGAACTTCTGTTTATTCATTTTTTCTAATGAATAACAGTAAACAGTAAATATAGTTTTTGTGTTATTTTTCTTCCTGGGAAATTAAATGCAACAAAAATACTGATTGTGGTATCTAAGCAAATCACTGTTGTATTCTCTGCCTGAACGCAGGACAAGGTTTTTGCTAGAATCTGGACTGATACAGTACAGTACAGTACTGCACAGTGTTATTTATAGTGAACGCAACTTACTTTAGCAAATAAAATAGGGTTCTGTGAATGCTGTATGAATAAACCAGGACAACTGGTGTGAGTAATACTAATGACTAATCACATAATTAGTCACTCAAGGAGTTAATATCTCATAGTGGTGTATGGTATAAGTAGTAGAGTAAAGAATGTAGGGCTGGACCCACTATTTGTCCTTATGGCTGATACAGTCACTATCAAATTATTGTGATATGCTTTAGTTTGGCAAGTTCTATCATATTATATTAAACTGCTAATTCTTCAATCTTGTACATTACTATCATGACTTGTTGTGATTGTTTAATGCCAATGATAGACTAGGTTCTTTATAAGACCCAAATACAGAAAGACTGTGCCTCAAAATAATTTATGATTTGAGTGCAATATATGAACTCATGGGTGCTGGTAAACCTCCTGCATATCATTCACTTAATGTAATGAAAAAATTGATGAAAAACAGTAATATCTGTGTGTATAAAACAGGAAATGCTAACCTGAATGCTACTGTGACTAGTATGAATATGTTAAAAAATTGAGAGGTGCCCACAAAACACCTAATACAGCCCTATATGTATTATTGCACCAGGGCAGGGAGTAGATGAGCTACCTTGTACCACCTAGAAAACATATTAACTGCCATTTTGAGGTCAAGAATGCAGCTAGGCTCTGATAGGAAGTTAAGTCCTTCCCTGGCCCTCTAAAACATGGGCAGGCTGCTGCAGCAGCCCTGAGGAGAGTCTAGACTCAGGGCATGATCAAAGGGTGCAGCCTGTTCAAGTGTGTACATGCCGTGAGTCAGGAATGGTTTCCAGGCTTCTACCAAAGGCTGCTATCACACATTTTCCCCTCCTTGTGGTAGGGAAGTGGGGAGGGTGGATCTGTGCAGTTGTCCTACAAAACACGTCACCATGCTGGGATGGAGGGAGTTGGTGTTTCGATGTCCAGAGAGGAAGGACAGGCATAAACTTGCTTTCAATAGTGGAATGTACTGCTGCTTGTGTGAGGCCTTCAGGTGTAGAGCAATACAACTAGGACTTGTGCCCGGACAAATTTTCTACTTACTAATGGTTAAAACATCCTTTGCTCTTTTAAAGACAAATTCCTCCTAGTATCACCTCACTTGGTTACCAAGCCACTGCATCTGTGGCTTAACTGAATGATACCGTAAGGGAGCTTCACAGAGGCATGGAGTTATGATGGGTCAGGGAGCTTTCCTATAAAATAGGAAAACTAGTTGCCTGCTGTAAGATGCCCATTAATTCTTTTTCCATGTCTAGATCCTTCAAATGTCCTAAGATATCAGAGTAGCAACCTCTCTGTACAGTGAGAAGGGCAGATTGTCCAGATTTGAAGACCATGGTGAAGTTCTGTGCTCCACCACAGACTTCTTGTGTCTGGACAAGCCATTTTGTTTTTTCATGCTTTATAGCAGGAATAACACCACTCTACCTCATGGGTGGTGTGAGGTGATGTCCATTAAAAGTAATGGTGTGCTCTGACACGCTGGGTGGAAAAGCTACACAGGGACTTAGAGACAATAACCACAGTGAATTACAAATCTCTTCTTACTGTGCTCTGTTGCTTCTCCTTGGCATTGTAGAAGGTCCACTGAATAAGAAGTTTTTCCAGAGGTGATGTCGTGTAAGTGCAGAGAAGTGTGGCATTTCCACCAACGGTGACATTCACTGGGTTTTGTGGGACTGTCACTGTAACACTGCTGATGTGGCCTGCAAGGAACAAGAAGTGAAGAGATATCAGTAAGGGCTGTGCACACCAAGAACCACTACTTTGGTTGCCCTAGCTTCCCACCTTTCATGACAGAAACCTTGAGGAGAAACATATTGCTTCCTTCTACTATGTAGAAGATTTTTTTTTTTCCCCTGGGGGTGGTTGTAGGTGTTTTAGATATTTCCCTGGGCAAGCAAAATAAGAGTTCTCTAGAAATATCTTCCCTTCCATCTGGACACATTCCTCTTCCCAGCTCCTTGTTCACTGATGAATGGCACCTTTACTCCCTCCCTACATGGTATGTGGCCTACAGCCTGTGACCTGTGTGGCATGTGGCCCCCAGCTGCTCTGAAGTTGGACTGCCCTGCCTTATAGGAGAAGTTATTCTTTAATCCAGCTCAGCCATATGAGACCAACACAATGAACATTAAAAAATAAATATAGGTGGTAAGCAATTAAAACTGGCTATTACAATTGAAAGGAACAACCAGCCATTTGAACATAATTTTTGCATGTTTTCCTATGATTCTGTCTTCATTTCTTGCTTAGAAAACTGATGTGTTGTTGACCCAATGGATAGGATCCTATGCTTCTTATATAACTAGATCACACATGGTATCAGGCCCAAACATTATACAAGACAACTAACTAATGTGAACTGTATCTATCCATCAAAAACTATTATGAAGCAAAAAGCACCCTTTGGTGAGTTGAAGTTTCTTTTATACTGTTCAATCCAATATTAAAGTTACAGCTTAAGGGTGCAAATGTTCATTCCTAAAGGGCTAGAAAACATAAGGCTCTAATAGTGACCTGTGTAAGAACCAGTGAAATGAAAATGTTGTGTTGGAAACGTAATGGACTTGTTCCACATACAAGTAATAGTGGCATTATATTGACATGAGAGGTAGTTAGCTGTGTAAGTCTAAAGTCAAGCAGAAGGCAGGGTAGATTTGTACTTTAGGTTCATGAAATCTTATATTACATATCTTTCTGATTTAGTTACTTTGTAAAGTACAAATCTACCCTGCCTTTTGCCTGACTGTATTGAAATCTCATTCTTCTTTTAGTGGAATATTTGTGCATCCTCTCATAGACCACTACCGTTAATTCACAGGCAAAACTCCTCACTAATATCAGTAGAGTTATCTGCTCAAATTTTAATATCACTAAATAATACCATTAAATAATAATACCACTCAAGATGTTAGGGCTAATATATTCTCTCTGATGTTAACAATTAGAGCTGGCTGGAGGATGAATACTTACATCCGTAATAACATTTAGCATTTCGATATTTGTTTTTGTTCTGCACTGGAGCAAAACATCTTTCAAATGTTTTTATAAGTTGCCACTATGCAGAAAATCCTATTTTCCAGTGACAAAGGTTAGACTTCTTATTCTCGCGCACTCTCACTCTCTCATCAGAAATGACCCAGAGGGCCTTGGATCTCATGAGCCTTTCCATCATTTTTAGTCAAAATTGATGCATCTCCTTAAACCACTCTTCTGGGTTCTGTGAAACAGTACACTTTGAAAAAAAAAATCTCATATTCTGATCAGTTCTGTTAACCATAGAGGGTCTACTTCTGCCAGTGATGTTCATCAGTGAGACTACTTATAGCCAGTGCTAGTAGGAAAATAGTTTCTACTATTTCAAATCTCCAAGTGGACCTAAACAGCCTGATCCTGAATCAGTGAAATCCAGGGGAGCTTTGCTGTGAAAGGTGCAGGTTCAAACACAAAGCTTGGCTCGTACAAGTAGTCTCACTGGTGGGACAAACTTGTATAAATATAAAATGCTTGGCGTGAGAGACCTGTTGAGCCCACGGTTCACCGTTCAGAGCACTTCATCCATTTAGATCCTCTAAGGCATAACTATGAGATCTCCTTGCTACAGACAAAGTTAATAAATTCTAAGTAGAAACATACAAAATGTAAGCTTGCTAACTTGATGCTGGCTGTCATAGAGATCCATACCGATGATGGACACAGCCTTCACTTTCCTACTGAACAGCTGCTCTGTTAGCATCTCAAATCTCTGTCCAGTTTTAAAATTAGATCAAATAGTTTCACAAAACTAACATAACGTTATGTTTGTTTCTATGATAAAAAGCCATATTTAAAAGAAAAATAGACTTGTGTTATGAAACAGTGGCAGAAGTAGCTTCTGAAAATTTTTCTTTGACCTCCAGAATAAACACTGTTTTTAAGAACTTCTCTTGCAAAATGCGGAGCAGTACCTGTGGTATCTGATACTTTACAGGAAAGGAAGGGGCCTTCTGGGTCACCAGGTCCAGTAACCTGTTTTGCAGCCAATCATTAACTGAAGAAATCCCCCAGATCACCACTTCAAACCCTCAGCCATAACTGCAAGGAAGAGTATCCAAAATGCAAAGAATAGGTACCCCAGAAAACGCCTTTGAGGAGATAAGGACATTGCTGTTCCAGTAGCAGAGGATTGGCAGAGAAGCAGTTGGTTAATATATGCTCAGAAGATACTAGAAAACCTTAAGAAAAGGCAAAAATCTGCCACAGTCCATGCCTGTCTGACCTAGAGAAGAATTCTTTCCTGACCCCCAAATTTGTCAATCAGTAGGACCCTCTAGCCCAGAACATCTGGGTTTTCTAAGTCCTGGCAGAAGCACTACCTCCCAGTCAAAACCTTCCAGCCTTACCCGTGGCCAGTGTCCCAAAGCCTCATAAGAAGGCAAAATGTAAAACCCCCCAGAAGCCAGAAACATTCATGGGGGAGGTGTTCTTTCTTGGCTCCAACTGGTGACCAAGAAAAGTCCTTTGGAGTGGGATTACCGGACACTATCCCATGTTTTCAGTATGCGCATAAATCTATGTGGGATGGGATCTCAATCGCCATTTCCCAGGCATGTTGCCCAGAGTCGACAAGGCAAGAGTCAGAACAAACCCAAATCTTGAAACACCTGGAAAATGCTGCTGCTAGCTCTTTTTCCCTTCTAGATTTATAACAAAGCATACAATTACAATCGGCAAGCAAAAAAGTTTCCTAAGATAAAATCCTGTATCAGTCAACATGCTATAATTTCACACGCTATTTTCCTTGGCTTCATAGCTGCGATTTTCATTCCAGCTGGAAATACATTTCTGATATTCTACTTTGCCAACCAAGTTCAACTCTTGTTCAATTGATTCCTTTATTTTTCCTCACCTGAGAGGGCTGCTATAATTGTAAATATCTTCAGCATTGCCGCAAACATCATCTTGAAGTCTGGAGAGGAAAGAGACCAGATGCTGCTGGTTCCTCAGACTAAAACTCAACCAGTTTTTTTTTCAAGTGGGTTTGTGTTTTCCTTATCAGACGCATATCAAGAAGTCAACACCTTTCTCATTCTCTTCTTTATCATATATGCTTTTCTCAAAGTAGCTGAGTAACTGTTCATTTGAAACAATTTCATGGGGCGTTGCGCCCTGAGACGTTTGTTAATAATAAACCTTAGGATTCTGCAAATTCTGTGGGCTAGATTCTGCCATTCTTACTTTTGCCACAGTAATGCTTGACTGCATTAATATATCCACCAATTCCAATGGGTTGACTTGTAGAGCAAGTTGAGTAAATGACAGAATCTGGCCCCTACTTCCTGTTAATTCCATCATTTGCATTTAAAAATGGGCAGTATTGAGATGATGATTACGGATGTATGTTTGAAAAATGCAAGCATCTATTATTGGGTGGTTTCAAATAGAAATGCTATACCATGTTACAACAGTGTGAAACTTCTGCAGGAAAACAAAGGGATCCCCTTTCTCTTCCCCCACCCCTTTTTTTTAACAAATTAAATGCAAATGCTTTTCACCCATGTAGACAGACACTTGACTGGAATGGTTTAGTCAGAGATGCTCCTGCCTTAGACTAGATTAGATGGATAAGGCGACTTCCTGAGGTTTCTTCCAGCTCTACAATCCTAGGGTTTACACAGTACTGATAAGAAAATTGTGCTGTGAATTCATTCTTCTTTATTACAAACACTGACAGCTGCATAACTGAGGAGGAAAGCAGGGTGGTCTAGCAGAGAAGAACTTGGTTCTATTCCTGACTGCAGGAATAAGAATTAATAATATAAATGCCTTAATATACCAGATAAATCCCTCATCTGAAATTCTATGTTTATTCACAAAATAGCAAAAGCACAGCCAGTACCCCACCTGACTGTAGGTCCATTTGTTTGGGACATGTGGCCAAAATTGCCAACTGTGGTCGTAGTGTTCGTGACGTAGGTACTTCTCTTAGGGACTGGATTGTAACCATTGCTCATGGTTTTTCATGGGTCACCAGAGGCCCTAAACAGCCAAGAACAGTTGCCCACCAAGCAACATGTTCTGGCATCATGTCTGCAAGTAAAAGGCTGGATATCATGTATCCATCTCTTAAACCATCCAGCTTCCTCAATGTCATTCTCTTACGTAGGTGACAGAAAGTGCTGTGGTTTGTCATTCTAACAATGCGTTAGCATAAGTCGCCTCAGAAAGAGAACCAAATCTGGACAGCAACCTCTTTGGGTTCTTTTTTAACCATTTAAATAATTCTTCAATGAATTGGAGGCTCAAGCTTCTTTTACAGCTCAGCTTCTTTCAGTGAAGAGTAAGGCTAAGACCTTTTAACAATAGGAGCAGTCAGTTTGTAACAGGTGGGAGTGTTAAATCTTATCTGAAGATAATGGCGAGAGCCCAGTACCAGGAACTGCGTGTTAATAGACTGTATGAC